CCGGACCGCCGGCCCCCTCGGTCGCCGACAGCATCTCGGGCCAGGGGCAACACAGCAGCTCGGACACAGAATCGGATTTCTATGAAGAAATCGAGGTGAGCTGCACCCCGGACTGCGCCACGGGCAACGCCGAGTACCAGCACAGCAAAGGTAGCCACCGCCCCCTTTCGGGCCTCCCACCGCGCCCACCTTCCACCTCAGTTCTGGAGGGAAGGGTGACTCCCGGGCAGGGTGGCTGGGGGCCCACTTGAGCAGTTCGCCCCTGCTATCTGCGCCCTCATGGGGTCTCCTGCGCTCTGGCATTGGCGGGGCTGAGGGTGACAGCTACGCTTGGGTGGTGGTGGGGGTGGGAGATGAAAGCCCTGGGCTTGAAGGGGGATTTAAAATGCACCCCAACCCCCCAGAGTTCTGTGGTTCTGCTTCAACTGCCTCTGGGAGATACCTTCCCCAGGCGTGAGTGAGATCAAACGCGGGTCCGGCAGTTTGTGCTGGCGGGGTGTAAGGCGCATCCAGGCGCGGAAGCGGGGAGTCCATAAAAAACCGTAAAATCGAGGCTGAGCCGGGCCGCCTGGGTGCTGAGGCCCTTCGACCAGTTTGCACGTCGGTCAGAGGTCCAAATTACCTTGTCACTTCCCTGGCTCGGTGGCGCCAGGTCGGAAATGGTCCCAATGATCTAATTGCCTTTGGTCTCCGGTTGCATTTGAAAAGGCAGAGCTCTGGCCCGCCCCCTCCCCCTTTGCTTCCCAGTCCCACTTCTCCACCCAAAGGAAAAGGAGCTGCAGGGGGCAGGAGCCCCACCCTTCGCTGGGTTAGGCCCAAAGGAGGGGGCTGTCACTTGAATTGGAGACCCCCTCCCTGACCAGGGGCGAGTGTGTGTGTGTTGGGGGGTGAACCGCCAGGAGGGGAGTCTCCCGAGAGGGTGGACAGCTAGAGGCCCACCAGCAGACTCCCCCACAAAGCTGCTGCGGTGGCGGGAAGAGCCAGCTATGGAGGGAAAACCACCCCGTCCTTGGCAGCCAACTCCTTGTTGAGCACTCACACTCCCCATTCCCGCCTCCACCCAGACTCCCGGCCGCAGCGCGGCCTTAGAACAGCTCCTCCACTCAGGCATTCTAAGGTAACAGGGTTCCGAAGCACACTCCATGCCACCTTGCAACACATGCCTCCACACAAAGCAAGAAAACAGTCATGCCAGCATCCCACAATGCACCAAGACCAGAGTTCACAGCGCCCCAGTGGATGATGCATCACAGTCCGTTTGCTCCTCAGATACCACAGCTTGCCCACTCCTGGCAACGGCCAGCTGCGAGCGAGCTCAGACGGCTGCATCTCCCCTGTGCCCCGGGGCAGGTGTCTGGGGGTGGGGGGAGGGGTCCAGGCCTAGGCCGCTATGTGCTCCTCTGCATGGTGAGCCCTGTCCTCCCTTTCTGGTTCTTGAGGTCCCCAGCACCCCAGCAGAAGCAGTTACTGGAGGGGGGGCCCTTTGCACCCCGAATCCTCAGCCCCACATCAGCAGCCTTTTTGTCTGTTGTGTTGTGTTGTGCTCTTGGCTCTGGGCTCCCTGCAGGGCCGGGCTCAGAGGCACTGACCGGCAGTCCCCAGGGCGGCAGCGAGGCCCCCAAGAGCACCGGCGGGGGCTCGCAGGGCAGCCTGGCCTGCAGCGCCAGTGACCAGATGCGCCGGTACCGCACCGCCTTCACCCGGGAGCAGATTGCGCGGCTGGAGAAGGAATTCTACCGGGAGAACTACGTGTCCAGGCCGCGCAGATGCGAGCTGGCTGCCGCCCTGAACCTGCCAGAAACCACCATCAAGGTATGCGCTCCGGCCCGGGGAGAGGGTGCGCCCACTCGGCAGGGAGCAAATACCACTGCCCGGTCCCTCACGTGTGCGGGGCCAGGCACCGGGGTCTGTGGGCTCCTGCCCACGTGGCAGCTGGGCTGGGGGTGCAGGCAGGTGTGGCCGCTGTACCTCCCGACAGTCCTCAGGCAGCCACCGCGGCAAGAGGTCAGCTCTGTCCCTTCCGAGCGGAATAACCAGCAGGGATGGGTGCTGCGACGTGACAAGGGGGTGTCCCAAGGGAGTGCGATTGGAGGGGGCTGTTTGTGCCACCTCAGACCCGTGGAGTCCCTGGTCCCCCACTAGCGCACTGGCGCCCGGGAGGCAGGGCGGACCCTGGGGTCTCTCTGAGCCCCTCCTGGGGGGTTCCAGCTCCAGGTGGCGGTGGGGGGATCGGCCCTGCGCC